CTTGTAGCGGTGAGCACCGAGAAAAGTGACCCATCAGTTGACAAAGGTTCGGGGAGAGGTGGAGCACCCCTTCCCCCGGATTTTCTTAGGCCAACCACCCGGATTACGCTGGCTTACCGTCGTTTGGAGCAATCGATTCCCAGATGCCAGGGGTTGGGGAGAGGTGGAGCACCCCTCCCGCCCAGTATTCTTAGGCCAATGACCTGGATTACGTTGGCTTACCGTCGTTTGGGGCAATCGATTTCCCCGTGGCAAGGGTTGGGGAGAGGTAGAGCACTCCTCCCCTCCGTTGTTCTTAGGCCAGTGACCCGGATTACGTTGGCTTACCGTCGTTTGGGGCAATCTATGCCCACATGCCAAGGGTTGGGGAAAGATAGAGCACCCCTCCCCTCCGGTGTTCTTAGGCCAATGACCCGGATTACGTTGGGTTACCGTCATTTGAGGCAACCGTATGACCCATGCCAGGGGTCGGGGAGAGGTAGAGCACCCCTCCCCTGCAGTATTCTTAGGAAAACCACCTCGATTACGTTGGCTTACCGTCGTTTGGGGCAATCGGTTCCACCATGCCAGGGGTTGGGGAGAGGTAAGGAGCCCCTCCCCTCCGGCATTCTTAGGCCAATGACCTGGATTACGTTGGCTTACCGTCGTTTGGGGCAACCGGATGCCCCGAGCCAAGGGTTGGGGAGAGGTGGAGCACCCCTCCCCTCCTGTATTCTTAGGCCAATGACCCCGATTACGTTGGGTTACCATCGTTTGGGGCAATCGGATGGCCCATGCCAAGGGTTGGGGAGAGGTGGAGCACCCCTCCCCCCCCCCGTATTCTTAGGCCAATGACCTGGATTACGTTGGCTTACCGTCGTTTGGGGCAACCGGATGCCCCGAGCCAAGGGTTGGGGAGAGGTGGAGCACCCCTCCCCTCCTGTATTCTTAGGCCAATGACCCCGATTACGTTGGGTTACCATCGTTTGGGGCAATCGGATGGCCCATGCCAAGGGTTGGGGAGAGGTGGAGCACCCCTCCCCCCCCCCGTATTCTTAGGCCAATGACCTGGATTACGTTGGGTTACCGTCGTTTGGGGCAATCGGATGGCCCATGCCAAGGGTTGGGGAGAGGTGGAGCACCCCTCCCCCCCCCCGTATTCTTAGGCCAATGACCTGGATTACGTTGGGTTACCGTCGTTTGGGGCAATCCGATGGCCCGTGCCAAGGGTTGGGGAGAGGTGGAGCACCCCTCCCCCCCCCCGTATTCTTAGGCCAATGACCTGGATTACGTTGGGTTACCGTCGTTTGGGGCAATCGGATGGCTTGTGCCAAGGGTTGGGGAGAGGTAGAGCACCCCTTCCCCCCCGTATTCTTAGGCCAATGACCTGGATTACGTTGGGTTACCGTCGTTTGGGGCAATCCGATGGCCCGTGCCAAGGGTTGGGGAGAGGTAGAGCACCCCTTCCCTCCTGTATTCCTAGGCCAATGACCTGGATTACGTTGGGTTACCGTCGTTTGGGGCAATCAAGTCCCCGGAACCCAAGTGATGGAATCCATCCGGATCGGACCCCGGATGGGTTTGATCGAACCCATTCGGATGGAACCCATCCGGATCCGGATCTGGATCGATCGAACCCATTCGGATCCGAGTCGATCGAACCCATCCTTATCGAGCCGATCCGGATCCGGATCGATCGAACCCGTGTGGATCAAACCCATCCGGATCCGGATCAATTGAACCCATCCGGATCCGGATCGATCGAACCCATCCGGATCCGAGTCGATCGAACCCATTCGGATAGAACCCATCCCTATCGAGCCCATCCGGATCCGAGTCGATCGAACCCATTCGGATCGAACCCACCCGGGTCCGGATCGATCGAATCCGTCCGGATCCGGATCAAATGAACCCTTTCGGACCCAAGCCCATCCGGATCCGGATCGATCGAACCCATCCGGATCCGAGCCGATCGAACCCATCCGGATCCGAGTCGATCGAACCCATCCGGATCCGGATCGATCGAACCCATCCGGATCCGGTTCGATCGAACCCATTCGGATGGAATCGATCCGGATCCGAGTCGATCGAACCAATCCGGATCCGAGTCGATCGAACCCATTCGGATCGAACCCATCCGGATCCGAGTCGATCGAACCCATTCGGATCGAACCCATCCTTATCGAACCCATCCGGATCCGGATCGAACCCATCCGGATCCGGTTCGATCGAACCGATTCGGATGGAATCGATCCGGATCCGAGTCGGTCGAACCCATTTGGATCGAACCCACCCGGGTGCGGATCGATCGAACCCATCCGGATCCGGTTCGATCGAACCCATTCGGATGGAATCGATCCGGATCCGAGTCGATCGAACCAATCCGGATCCGAGTCGATCGAACCCATTCGTATCGAACCCATCCGGATCCGAGTCGATCGAACCCATCCTTATCGAACCCATCCGGATCCGGATCGATCGAACCCATCCGGATCCGGTTCGATCGAACCGATTCGGATGGAATCGATCCGGATCCGAGTCGATCGAACCCATTTGGATCGAACCCATCCGGATCCGGATTCACCGGCCCCATTCGTATCGAACCCATTCGGGTCCGGATCGATCGAACCATCAAGGTCAAAGCCTAGGCAGGGTATTCCTATGCCAATGGCCTGCATTGCGTTGGGTTACGATTGTTTGGGGCAATCAAGAACCGAAACCCAAGTGATGGGGAGTGGTAGAATGCCCCATCCCTAGAGTATTCCTAGGCCTATGACCTGGATTACGTTGGGTTACCGTCGTTTGGGGCAATCCGAAAACACATGGCCGAATGATGGGGAGAGGAAAAATACCACTTCCCTAGGGTATTCCTAGGCCTATGACCTGGATTACGTTGGGTTACCGTCGTTTGGGGCAATCCGAAAACACATGGCCGAATGATGGGGAGAGGAAAAATACCACTTCCCTAGGGTATTCCTAGGCCTATGACCTGGATTACGTTGGGTTACCGTCGTTTGGGGCAATCCGAAAAAATATGGCCGAATGATGGGGAGAGGAAAAATGCCACTTCCCTAGGGTATTCCTAGGCCTATGACCTGGATTACGTTGGGTTACCGTCGTTTGGGGCAATCCGAAAACACATGGCCGAATGATGGGGAGAGGAAAAATACCACTTCCCTAGGGTATTCCTAGGCCTATGGCCTGGATTACGTTGGGTTACCGTCGTTTGGGGCAATCCGAAAACATATGGCCAAATGATGGGGAGAGGAAAAATACCACTTCCCTAGGGTATTCCTAGGCCTATGACCTGGATTATGTTGGGTTACCGTCGTTTGGGGCAATCCGAAAACACATGGCCGAATGATGGGGAGAGGAAAAATACCCCTTTGCTGGGGTATTAATAGGCCTATGGCATGGATTACGTTGGGTTGCCATCGTTTGGGGCAACCTGTTTATGCGTTCATGGGATGCCAAGATTGACCCTTGGGACCCCCCAGCCGGGTCATTTGATCCCAAGGGCGGATTTGAACCGGCCCATGGGTTCATCCAATTCAAGAGCCCATCCCCGCTCGGCCATTCTGACCCCCCCAGCCGGTTCATTTGACCCCAAGGGCGGATTTGAACCGGCCCATGGGCTCATCCAACCCTTGGGCCCATCCCCCCTCGGTTTTTTTACCCCCCACCCGGTCCATTGGACCCCTAGGGCGGATCTGAACCGGCCCATGGGCTCATCCAACCCAAGATCCCATCCCCCCTCGGTTATTTGACCCCCCAGCCGGTCCATTGGACCCCAGGGGCGGATTTGAACCGGCCCATGGGTTCATCCAACCCAGGAGGATCCCATCCCCCCTCGGTTATTTGACCCCCCACCCGGTTCATTCGACCCCAAGGGCGGATTTGAACCGGCCCATGGGTTCATCCAATTCAAGAGCCCATCCCCCCTCGGTTTCTTTTACCCCCCAGCCGGTTCATTTGACCCCAAGGGCGGATTAGAACCGGCCCATGGGTTCATCCATCCCTTGGGACCACCCCCCCTCGGTTTTTTTTTACCCCCCGCCCGGTCCATTGGACCCCAGGGGCGGGTTTGAACCGGCCCATGGGTTCATCCAACCCAGGATCCCATCCCCCCTCGGTTATTTGACCCCCCCGCCGGTTCATTTGACCCCAAGGGCGGATTTGAACCGGCCCATGGTTTCATCCGACCCAAGAGCCCATTCCCCCTCTGTAATTCGACCCCCCAGCCGGTTCATTCGACCCCAAGGGCGGATTTGAACCGGCCCATGGGTTCATCCAATTCAAGAGCCCATCCCCGCTCGGCCATTCTGACCCCCCCAGCCGGTTCATTTGACCCCAAGGGCGGATTTGAACCGGCCCATGGGCTCATCCAACCCTTGGGCCCATCCCCCCTCGGTTTTTTTACCCCCCACCCGGTCCATTGGACCCCTAGGGCGGATTTGAACCGGCCCATGGGCTCATCCAACCCAAGATCCCATCCCCCCTCGGTTATTTGACCCCCCAGCCGGTCCATTGGACCCCAGGGGCGGATTTGAACCGGCCCATGGGTTCATCCAACCCAGGAGGATCCCATCCCCCCTCGGTTATTTGACCCCCCACCCGGTTCATTCGACCCCAAGGGCGGATTTGAACCGGCCCATGGGTTCATCCAATTCAAGAGCCCATCCCCCCTCGGTTTCTTTTACCCCCCAGCCGGTTCATTTGACCCCAAGGGCGGATTAGAACCGGCCCATGGGTTCATCCATCCCTTGGGACCACCCCCCCTCGGTTTTTTTTTACCCCCCGCCCGGTCCATTGGACCCCAGGGGCGGGTTTGAACCGGCCCATGGGTTCATCCAACCCAGGATCCCATCCCCCCTCGGTTATTTGACCCCCCCGCCGGTTCATTTGACCCCAAGGGCGGATTTGAACCGGCCCATGGTTTCATCCGACCCAAGAGCCCATTCCCCCTCTGTAATTCGACCCCCCAGCCGGTTCATTCGACCCCAAGGGCGGATTTGAACCGG